ACTGGACGTCGTTGATAATATTCTGTCTCAACAAGATGCCGGGTTTGGCACCATTCTCACGTTGCTAGATTATTCACGTGCCTTTGACAGTATTAATCTGCAACTTCTCTTGGCCAAGCTTGAGTACTATGGTTTGGATGGTCTGTCGGTGAGATGGTTCGGCAGCTATCTATTAGAGCGTTACCAGTCAGTCAAAATTAGTAGTCATGGTTATTCTCGTGTGTCGGATCCCAGGGAGGTATTACGTGGTGTTCCTCAGGGCTCAATTCTTGGGCCGCTGTTATTTATTATTTTAACAGTGGACATAGTTGGCGCTATCGAGCATTGTCACTACCACTGCTATGCGGATGATGTGCAACTTTATATATCTACATGTCCTGATTCAATACAGCGGGCTGTTTTGGAGATCAATAGTGATTTACAAAGGATCGTAAAATGGTCGGATGATAACGGGCTGCTTTTGAACCCCTTGAAGTCCAAATTTATGGTTATGGGTTCAAAGTCGCAGGTCACCACTATTATTCTCTCCAATCCCATCATATCTCTTGGGCACCAGACTGTGCAAAGGGTTGATGAGACGCGAAATCTTGGAGTACTATTTGACTCCCAACTGCGTTTTGAGACCCACGTTATAAATGTCGTCAAAAGCTGCATGTACCGTTTGAGGGTGCTTTATCGCGTTCGTAACTTCCTCAGCGAGAAGGCTCGTATTACACTATGCGAATCTCTGGTGCTCTCGAGACTCAATTACGCGGATGTTGTGATTGGCCCTCGTCTTCTTTCCAGGACAAGCCAATTGATTCAGCGGGTACAAAATGCCTGCTGTAGATTTTGCTTCCACGTGCCTCCTCGTACACATGTTTCACCATTTTTAAACTCTGCTAACATACTCCGGATGGAATCTCGTAGACAATTACATCTTGCTTGTCTCGTGTTTAAGGTCATAAAACACTAGCAACCCAAATACTTGCATGATAAATTGAAGTTTTTTACTTCGAAACATGATATGAGATCTGCCCGCTCTGCTCTTGCCTATTATCGTCATCGCACAGTGGCATTTAGAGGTAGTTTTCGTTTTCAGGCTACAAAGTGCTGGAATGATATACCGCCCCCATTAAAAGAGTTTACTTCAATATATACATTCAAAAAAAGATTTAAATCCAAGTTGCTCGAGCTTCAAATAAAGTATACTTGATAAGGTGTATGGTTGGTTGATCTCCTTTGACTACCTTGTAAGTTATAAGTAATTATATTTGTGATTTTATTGTTATAATTATTATTATTTGTATAAATTTATTATTCTTACTTTTTGACATTGACTGATGACATTTTAATTGTATTGTAATATTTTATGTCTATAATCTAATGTATGTTTTGATCATTTATGTTATTCTAATTAAAATTTTTCTTATTTCGACTTTATTAATGTATCTTGTATCTGACTTTTGCTATAGTTTTCTTTCTTATTGACGTCTATATTTGGTTTAATTGTTTTTTAATTTCTGCCCTGCTCACCTTGACTGGGTGATGGCTGAAAATCGGCGCTTCGCCCGTTCCTGGGTGATTTGAATGCGCTGAGCCTTGACCCTTTTCTAACTGCTACACACAGGTACATCATGATTAATAATTTATTTGATTTAACTTTCTTTTTTGTGTGTTTCAAAACTTTTTAGATGTAATTGTGTGTAGTTATTAATAATAAACGTTTTATCTATCTATCTATCTATTTATTTCGGCAATATTGTTAATTTCCAATAAACTTATAATCGATATTTATTGTTGATTATAAAATGCTATATTTTATATGATGATTTAATATAGTTGGTATATATCACTGCATAAGCTTTGGCAAACTCGGTATAGATCTAATTTGATCAGCGTATGGTTCTAGTATCGATACTTAGCTAGATTTTAGAATCGTATTAAGAGTGTCGATAACTTAAGGTAAAATAAATAAGTGTTGTTACGCTTAGACGCCTAACAACTGAACCCATCTAAATGGAAATTAATATAGTAAATAGACTTAACTTTAAGAATGGATATAGGCTACATTTTATCGCGAAAAATAGGGGATGAAAGTTTGCTTGGAAATTTGTCATTATCAATTTTTTTTTAGACAATTTTTTAAATGTAGATAAATATTTGACAACAGAAGTAATAATAAAGAATAAATAGAAGATTAACAAAAGTAATTAAGTGACACTCAATGTCTTTTTCGCATTTAATAAAATTTTAAATGTATGTTTGTGTCATTAATAAATTTTAAAAAAGAAGTATTCTAAGGGAATAATATTTCTGCTCATAGAAACTACACCACGCGTATAAAATTATGCCTATATATAATACAGTCAACTGATCTCGTAAAGTTCATTTAGCATAATTATTCTCCATTTAAAAATTTAAACATCAAGTACTAGACCATTATCAGTTATTTTATTCTAATGTCACAGATATTTTTAGCTATTGTATGTGAATAATGCTGTTCCTAAATTAGTTTTTAACAGGGTATAAGTTTTTACATCTGATAATAGTCATCCGATAGTAGTAAAAAAAATGCTTTCGTCTTGCCATAATTTATTATGGTTTATGTAAAACGATCAGATCATTATTTAGGTAATTTTCTACGTCTTCGAACGGAATTACCGACGTTCCGAAAATCTCATCGTATCTAGCGTAAGTGACGTGTAGCTCCAAAGAGAGCTGCCCTACACTGTGCCGCTCCGATCAGGAAAAAAACGGACAAGTGCACAAGCTACTCATCCGATATTTTCATGTCATTCCGGACCGGAAAAAATCGGACCGCCGGACCTGAAAATTCAGTGTAGTGAACAAGCGCCCTAAGAGGAATAAAGTTGTATTATGATTAAACAAAATTCTCATTGCAGTCGAAATTCTCATTGCAGTCGTTATGAGTTTTTTTATCTATGAGGGACTTTGGCAATCGTGTTTTTTCTTATTTTTTTTTTATAATAGGAGTTTAAAGTATGAAATTGCCGATTTGTACTAAAAATCAAAATTGTATATTTTTTAATATTCAAAAAAATATTGCTTCAAAATAGTTACCATTATTATGTATGCATTGCTGCCATCTCATAGGAAGGTCATTTATGCCTTTGCGATAGAACTCTGAGGATCTAGACTGCATAAAAGCATTTTGTACTGCCTCCTGGGAAGAAAACATTTTGTTACGTAGATAATTGTCCAAATCACGAAAGAAATGGTAGTCCGTTAGAGCAAGGTCTGGCGAAAACGGAGGATGACGATTGGTTTGTAACTGCAGTTCCTGAAGGGTCATAACGGTTTCTCGTGCTGTATGAGGTCTCGCGTTGTCATGGAGCAATAATGGTGAAGATCGATTCATAAGCCGGGGATGTTTACTGCTAGTTTTGCTAATATTGTTTGGAGTTCGGCACAATAGACATCTGCAATTATTGTTTGACCAGATCGAACAAAACTATAGTAAATATGACCATACTGAGACCACCAAACAGTTACCATTTTTTTTATTGGTAAGTTTTTTAGTTGCTTTAGGATACTGTTGTGGCGTTTGACCTGAGGTCAGCTACGGGTGGTGCATTTTTCTTTTACGGTTATTATAAAGAATCCACTTTTCATCACGTGTCACAATTCGATCAAATAATCCTTTATTTCTGGACCGATTAAACAAGGTAACACAAGTTTCAACACGTGTTTCTTTCTGCAGAGCAGTCAAATCATGAGGCACCCATTTGTCGTATTTTTTTATTTTATTGATTTGACGCAAATGAGTCAATCTTATGGGTAAGGTAACGTTAAATGCCGCTAATTCCTGGGTAGTTTGACTAAGATCGGCTTCCACCATCTCTCTTAATTCATCGTTATTCACCTGTGTGCGGTCTTCCTCGTGGCTCGTTCTTCAAGTCGAAGTTTACATCACGAAAGCGTTTAAACCAAAATCGCACGGTGCGTTTATTAGCAGACCTCTCTCCAAACGCAACATTGATATTGCGGGCTGTTTCTGCCGCGTTACGTCCGCGTCGGAACTCGTATTCAAAAATCACTCGAATTTTCGCAGTATTCATCATTCTTGTCTAAGTTGAATAACAAAAACAATTAAAAGTCAACATTTAGATGTTTTACATTTTTTAAAAGAAGAACATCATAGAAACCATGTGAAAAAAGTTTCATTCGAAAACCATGAAGATTCTATGTCAATTCAAGAAACCTATTACAATAAAACGACAATTTCATACTTTAACCGTTATTTACAATCTGTTATTTATTTTATTTAGGTGGAATTTATTTGTTTGAAGTTTGCGTCAGGTCTAAAATGAAAGGTTGCATATTCGATCATTATTCCAAAACAGACATAGAGTATATCCCTAAGAGAACAATCAATAGGTACTTGCGAGTACAGACACTATTGTGGATAAAACGATTAATCCTGGAATCACTTACCCTAGATGAAATCGTACGATTGCGTTAACACTTAAACAATTCAAATTAAAATTATTTCCAAATATATAAATCAAATCTTAAAATACATAGAAAATTTGCTACAATAATTTACAAAAATACCCAATTTCGGTTACAGAGCCAGGTATACGATCTAAGTATTACTATTCTATCTAACACATTTTGTCCATAAAAAAATAAGTAATATCAGTTGGCCCTTGCATCTTACTAAAACTGATCCAGAGGTATATTTGGTTTTCTCTATTAAAGTAATCAAATGGAGTTATTTATTAAATGTTTGATGTCCGAATCTCATCGACAAGACCACGATTCACTAATGACGATTGAAATAAGTTATAGTATTCCATATCCTTTGATACTTGATTTTAATACTACTGATAGATACGTAAGTAGGTATCTGGTCCATCTGTCTACGTAACTTGCTGTCAATAAGCATGCGGAGATAATGTTGCTGTTGCATAATGTTACATAAGTGCGAGTTACAACAAGAGAGAGGGCTCGTATGCGGCAATTTAGTTTTGAATTATCCAGTTTTGTTCCGAAAGGCATGGTCTGATGGTGCTGTGTTGCATCAACGAAACGAGGTGATTGTGCAGTCACCAGTCGCCAGCTGGTGGTCGACTCGCGTAGTCGCACTGCCACCTAACGATCAACATAATATATAAACAAACATGTTACTTTTTAAAAACGCGCGAAACTTTATTTTTGTTTAGTTTTTTTTATGTCAACGGAATTCGCTACCATGGATTCTGAGAAGAAAGTTGAGGATGTGGTGACTATGGAGAAACCAAATTATATGATTATGTCCTTGCAAAGGATTTTAGTGTTGTTCATTATATTTGTCGGTGTAATCATTGTTGTTCGATATACGCCAATGCCAGGTAATTAAATTGTTTGAAATTTGATAGATTTTAATATGAAACTCATTAAGTTGTTGCTTTAATAAATGGAGCTTTATTTGTGTATTATGTGTCTGTTTTAAAGGACACTTGAGACACTAATTAATTAAGTATACCTACGTGAATAAGTTTACTATAGATGTACGATATTTATAGCTTCCAAAGTAGTGCTTTATAATAATGAATTTATAAATATTTTCAGAGGAGTACTTTGAAAATTGTGACCGGGAATGCAATGAACTGGATTGGCCTATGATTTGTCGGGTGAAACTAGTCATAGAAGTATATAAGACTCTTAGCAAGTAAGTATTCAAGTGAATTTATATTATGAATATTTTAATAGTTCAATTTTCTTTTATATAACGTACCATACAATTTGCGGTATTACCGAAGAAAATGTACTCTGTTATTATGTGTAGTTACAACACAAGTCATACTTATAATTTCCCTATGAACTTTTTTTTATAAAATAAAACGTTTTTCTATATTTTGTACGAATATATTTATTAGATTCTATTCCATTGTTCTATTCTAATATTTATTAAAGTTTTCACTGGTGTAGTTTCCATATGTTTTTAAAGTAATACTATAATGGGGAAATGTTTATTTATTTGTATTTAATAGGCTCCGTTACTACTCGACTGAATTTTAAAATTATTTAATCCCATCGCGTGAATACAATCTAGTCAAAAAAATAACATATCTTGCACGCCTATCAAGAAACAGAAGCAAATTAAAAAAAGCCGGCATTAGTACTGCGAAAAACGTTATCATTCTAAAGATTGGATCATTTGCTTCTGAATCAGGGCAAATGTCCGAATTAATTAATGTTTCATTCATAGATTCTCAGATAGATTCAAGAACAGAGAGCAAGTACTTAATCGTGTTACGAATATGTTTAAAACTTATCTAATGCCTTTTATTGACCTTTGATATGGAATTTTTGCATTATAAATCTTGATTTTAATATATGATTCCAAAACAAAAGTCATATAAAACTAGTAAATAAATAAATATAGCCGCTGGTCGGCCGACAAGTACCTTCATTTGTTACCGACACGCGGCTTGATGTCGCTCGAATCTTACCGAACAGTCACTCAGTTCTGCTCAGTTCATTCTTTCTTCATTTGTGTTAGTGAGCGCCACTGATCCATTCGAAGCAAATTTTGAGATTCGAATCAGTGTAACATTTTGCTGAACCGACTTATTGAGTCGTTTCAGTAAAGATTTACACACGTCTAGGTACGAGTAGTATTATTGCTTAACAGCAATATTTAACTTGCAATCGACAATTGTAGTTGAGATATCGTTAATGGGGAAGACCTGTGTCCAATAGTGCCTTTTATAACACTTAATAAGAAGGAAAACAAATAACCTTTTTATTATTTTTAGATCCTGTGGTAGCTGTACGGAAAAAGATGGTGGCGATTGTCCATCTATGTGCATATCTGCCGATGGTCGCGAACGCGGCGTGCTCACCGCTAACCGAGTATTGCCTGCACCGGCTCTACATGTCTGCGAGAACGACATTCTTGTTGTAGATGTGGTTCATCGTGCAACAGCACACGCACTCTCCATCCACTGGCGTGGACAGCCACAAAAAGAAACCCCTTTCATGGACGGTGCACCTATGCTCACTCAGTGTCCCCAACCAGCCTACACAACATTTCAATACAAGTTCCGTGCGTCAGCAGTAGGAACGCACATGTACCACGCACATTCTGCTGCAGACTCAGCAGATGGACTCGCTGGAACTCTAGTAGTTAGACAATCCCCACGGCTTGATCCGCTTCACAAATTATACGACATCGACTCTACAGATCACACTATTTTCATAGCCGAATGGGGTCATTCCATGGGCCCGTTAGCTGGTATGGTGTCAAATGTGCCCAATGCAGAGTCTCTCCTTATTAACGGAAAAGGAAAAACATCTGAGTCTCCTGATGCACCACTATCCAAATTTCAAGTACAATACGGGAAACGTTATCGTTTCCGGTTAGCATATGGCGGTGGATCTAAAAGTTGTGCGGTGAAGTTCTCAATCGATCAACATGATATCAAACTTGTTGCGTTAGACGGACACATAATAGAACCGGAACTAGTAAAATCCGTCGAGTTTGGCAGGGGTGAGCGTGCAGATTTCATTTTGGAAGCCAAAAGGGCACCTGGTATATATAAGATGAGAGTGATGGCTGATAAGTCATGTCAGAGTGATTTAGAAGGAGTTGCTGAACTCGTATACGACAATATTGACTCAAAAGTGTTACATAAGGATAACGATGACACTTCCGAAGTTAATCGCGAATTTTCAACAGTGAATAGTGAACAGTGTGCTGCGGAAAATTTGTTGTGTTTAAATGAGGTGCACACGGCGGCCAAATTTCCAGAAGAGTTAGTTGAAAACCTCGACAATTTGATCTACGTGCCTTTCAATTATTCTACCAGACGAATTTCGGCCAAACGCGTAGGTGAGTACAGTAACAATATACCTGCTATTTATTACAAATTTGAAATGAATTGTAGAGAGGGGCAGCTCTCTTCTTTTGTTTATATTTTTGCGTCCACGCTCAACTAACTTAAAAAACAAAACTGTTGGATCGTATACGCTGCGCTTACTTTCGTGATTAATTATTATAATTAGTTATTATTAATAATGATTCTATAACATTTCGAGATAAGATAGCGAGCCCATTATGATGTTTGATTAGTTATCGGAGCGGTTAATGAATAACTTACCAACAGGTTTTTGAAAGGTTTCGTTTCACTCATTTGTACCTTTATACATAAATTATTCTTAATTGAATAGAGAAACGTAGACAACTTCGATCATCTTAGCGAATCACATGCAAACGAATAAATTTAAAATTAGATCGTCACATTCATCATTTAAACATCTAACACGTTCGTTATGTTGTTTATGTAAAATGTGACCTACAAATATTTTCTGAAAAAGTTGACGATGCAGTTTTGAAATAATATGTGAACAGCGTAAAAAATAAAGCAATCCCTAGTCAACAACTGCAATATAAATAATACATAATTTTTATTTCAATCCCTATGAATTGTGAGATAAATTGTGGAATGTGTTATTCTTTGGGCTTGGCTAGAATAGTAGGGTTATAATTCGAAAGACATAATTCGAATAACAAAACCAAGATTAGACCTCTAACATACTTAAACAAAAACGTTTCATCTACGAACTTTACAAAACTCAATACTTTAAAAGACAACACCATTTTCTTCTTCTTCTAGTAATAATGGCTTATCTGCGCATTTCGCTCAATTTTACCAATGTCAAGTGAATAAATTAATTTCTACATGTAAAATGAAAACGAAATGAATGAAAGATGGTGGTGTTCCCAAATACGAAACATTTTTCAGACTATGTCACAGAGTAAGTATTCTTATTAAATAAAAAGTATTTATTACTCCTAGTTTAGAATAGTTTTTATTTATTTTCCCTATGATGAACGATATTATTATGAGAACGTATATGACCTTCGTCAATTATAGGTTTATGTTCCAAACATGGCAAATGTTTATTCGAATATTACATAACTCTTGAGAATACTTAGCTCAATGTAGGTCGATAGAAGCACAAGTGGTAGAACAGAACACAACTACGGCGTCACAAACAATTTGAAGCCTTAAACAGTTGATTGTTAAGTTCAAAAGTGATTGCAGAGATTTGGCCTTTTGTAGGAACTTGACGTGTAGCTATTGGCTATGTGTATGTTGATCGTCGTTTGTTTAATTAATTTATTTTAGTTACAATATGATTTTGATGTAGCTATCAGTGTTATGAAGAAATTTGACGCAAGAATGACTCAATAGATTATTGTAATTATTTTCGAAAGTTAGATATTCATTTTTGAATATACCTATTTTTTACGTATGCTTCTTTTTATTGGTCATGATTTTAGGGATAAATTAAAATTCCCCAATGTCAATAATGATGTTTCCAAAATGACCAAATTATTTCACAAACCACTAATTTGTACTAGAGGTTTTATTTTAACTCAACATGTAATAAAATAAAAACGTAACATTCACATCATTATTAGTCCATTAATTAAAGACTGTATTAAGTTTGAAAACAGCGAAATTAACATGATTAAAAAGATTTTAATGCAATTTTCATTAATATACAGAGTGATTTATGAAGAATTTTTATATGTATAATACAAGACCAATCGGGTGAAGCTGCTGGTAGGCTGTGTTTAATAGTATTGTAAATTTTTATCAATTAATTTTGCAAACGATATTTCCAAAGAGAAAGAATCCTAGTGTAGTTTCTAACCAGCCAGTTTCAAATACTACGAGTATTAATGATACCTATCCAAGAAGTTTATATATTTTGTTGTATTATTGGGATTTTTGAAATAAGTTCCTATTAGGAAAGATTTGATTGTTTGTTTGCATTTAATAAGCTATCAAACTACTGGCCCATTTTATAGGTATCATACGCGGGTGACACAGGCTATAATTTACGCGGGTGATGTCACGGGAAAATAGCTAGTATTAAATACAAAACGGGAGGTGCTACACTCATAACCTAGATATAAAAAAGTTCATATAACATGTTGATTGAATCGGAAATTATATCAGGAAATTAGAAGATAACATCGACCGGTTTTGACAAGTACTATTAGCTGATGGTAGGTGCTCTTACATTTTCTTTTTTTTCAGGATTTTGTTAGTTGTTAGTTAGGAAAAAAATATATTAATAGCCTCTATCTATTTTCACCACAAAAATTCTCAAATGATGTTTAATGTAAGCCTAACGAATTCAAATAGATAAATTCACAATCGATATATTATTGAAATATAGCATTTTATTAAAAAGTTATTTAGCAAATTATTAATTTATGTTTAATATCTACACGTCTAAGTTTTTATGTAATACATGTTTAATAATAACAAAACTTATAAAAGTGTTATTAATTAACTAATTTATCACCTAAATCAGCATTATGTTAATAAGTTTAAAAATAACGTTAGTTTGTTAATGAAGGCGTGAAAGTATTTTATCAAATGTCAGTTCGTTTAAAACTGTTCTCTTTAGAGAGTGAATGCCGATGGATAACTTGTTTTGGGAATTAATGAATACAGGTTTTTTGTGAGTATAATCGATGTAATTATAGTTAAAGTATGACATTGCCGATTTAGAGTAACAAATACTTTGAATAGATATTAAACCTTCATGGTCTATGATTTTCGTGTAAAACTTTTTCCACATGATACCGATGAGATTCTTGTTTTGAATGTTTCGGAATGACTGATTCGATCATGAAATGTCATTCACCTATGGAAAGCTAAATCTTAAGTCGGTGTTATAGGCTATAGTTTACTTGAGCGAAGTCATGGGAAAACAGCTTGTTAGTTATTAAATATGATAATGAAAAGTAAAGTTAATTTATATTGATTTCTTGAATTTAAAAAAACGTTGTAAAGGAAAATAACTGTTTTCTAAATTAGAAAATCATCTTAGGACCTTAAGTAATTCATAATTAGTCTTTCCGTATACAAAGACGAGACTGTCCTTTCTGAAGTTTACCGGTTGAAAGATCATAAATAAATTAAAAAGTAAGAAAAATGAGCGAACCTCTTAACATTGCAGAATAAAAGAAACGTCGGAGGCGAAGTCTTTTTTTGTTTGTTCCGGATTGAATAGGTTCTTCTTTGGAAAGCGTTATTTTTATATAAACAGCTACCTACTGGACTTTAACTCAGAATATTATCAACGATTTTGAAATCATTAATCTGAGATAGGTAACTTTTTTATTACATTAACTCAGATTAAGAAATAGGCGACAGCAGAATAAAAGACTTATATATATATATCTACTATTAAAAGAGTATAATTTTGGCAACAACAAAAGAAACTCCTTAGGTGTTGCTAGTCCTAAGGAGTTACTTTAGCTTTTCTCAACGTGGGTGATAAGAACCAGAAATAAAATGAGGGCGTCATGTAGATACTTAGAAAGAGTTAACTTGAGACTTGCGTACTATCTCAGTTTACTCTTGCTGGTTATAGCAAAAGTCTCGTTTAGAATTAATGTTAAATCTCCGCTAATAAAGCTCACGATAATTAATTAAATTAATCAGTAGTAATAAGACCGTTATTTTATACATAGTAATACCAATTACATTATTTAAAGAGAGAGATAGAGAGAGAATCATAACTTTATTATATATGCTACTCACATTTTATGTCATTTCATAAAATCTAACCTTCATTTATGAATATGATTTATGATCAAAAGTATTATTGTTTGATTTGAAATATCTCTTTTAAATGTCACGCTCGGGATTGAATATGTTATATATTTATCTAGGTAGCGTTAGTCACACAATCGTACATAGGTTATATAAAACATTATCGTGAAATCGTCTAAGTAAAAGCGGAAGTCTTAGAAATTATATTTTTTCTAACTGCACTATAAATGTCGAAGAGAAAATATTATAGTAATTATTGCGGATCTTCCTGGATCTTGAACAGATTTACACGTAGCTAGCCGATGCTTGGACTGTATAATTGAAACTTCCTTCGATGGTTTTCACTTCTTCTTTATTCTTAAATCTTGAGGGCCGGAGAGCTTACAAATTTCGCTCAAATCGACCCGTCTTACATTTGTTGGGGTGGCTCGCACTTAGCTCCGTATATTATCAGTTGATTAGCCTATTACACATCTAACCCCTACTTTGCGAAGCCATCCCCCACCCTTAACATCTATGTATCACATTATTGTTAATTACTACGTTTTACTGTTTCTACATTTACATCATAAATCACGTTAAAACATCATCATATTATTGTTACATAACTCGTATCGTGTCGGGCAAGACCGCGCCGTCGAAGCTCATAATCATTCTAAGGCGCGCCGCGCTCTTGCCCGATGTATTTATGTGGTCAGAGCGAGACGGAAGATCCCGCGTAAACCAGCGCCGTCTCGCTCCGATACATTTTTATTGTTAACATGAAGGTAGTCGAACATTTTACATTTTAAACACCCCTGTATCGAGGCAATACCGTATAGAAACCCACATAAGCTCCCTTGACTCGGGCAATACCATATAGAAAACTACCTAAGCCTCCTTAGCGAGGCAATACCTTATAGAAAACCATAGCAAATAAAATCCAACCCCTCACAATCATTTAATTTGCTATAACTTAAATTATCTTAATACTAGGGGAATAAATACACCCATAGGTTGTATCATTTAATTCTAAGCTTTAACCACATTCATTTAACTAAACTTACTTATTATATATAATTTACTTAAGATCATCTAATATATACAACTCGACGAGACGTGCGTCCGTAACAGAGCTCCCCCCGGCGCAGCATCCGCGTAGCCCCATCACTCCATCGTCAGGACCGCCAGTCTCGTCGCCGGTCGCCGGAACGTGCCGCCCTTCGTCTTCACCTCCACATTGCGTATCTCGTTGTCTGGTCCAGGATAT